TGCGCGTGTAGTTTATACCAAACCGCAAAGTGGTAGTGTACAATGCCCTGTTTATGATTATGGGTATGCTGCTGCTTGGCTGCAGGCGGCGGCTGAACCACAGCTCCTGTTTTTCGACATTGTTGCCGGCTGGCCCGGCTCTGTTCATGACATCAGGATTTTGACAACTCCCGCTTGTGGGTGCTGTACGAAAAAAAAAACGGGGGCCCGGAGTGCTGTTGGGCGACGCCGATTACGCATGCCAGCCATATTTATTCAAACCGTTTTCAGAACCAGGCCCCTCGGACACACCCAAGGGAAAATTAGTTCACGTGTCAGTGCATAGTCACAGAAAGTTGGAGCACGGTTTTGTGGTGTGACATTGAATCAAGTCGTTTGTGGAGTTATGCACAATGTTTCTTCATTCGCCCAGGTACCGAAAAGCCCGAATAAATACTCGGGAAGGTGGAAAACCTGCAGAAAGTATGGTTTCAGCGGGCATATTTTTTGTATCGTGGTGGTGAGTGGGATACTTGTCGGGAGCTTTACAGCCGTGTCCAATGTACTGGGAGGCCGAAAACTGGAGTAGTCCGGGCGAAATGGAGAGCTTGCAGGTGTGCGTGTCCCCAACAATCATGCATGCTGAGGTTCCGGGGTCTAGCTCCTTCTTAAAGGCTATCCCCTTCCTCTTCTAGTCTTTGTTCACCTTTCGTTTAGAGAATAAGCCGATTAGAGAATAAGCCGTAGACAAATATCTTGGCGAAATTTGTCGCACTAGATAGGCTGCGAAGTGAGCCTATTTTTATACTTCGTAATCGACAGTATGGGGCTGGGCGGTTGGTTTTCATCAATATTGAAGACGCAAGTGAATCTTTCGGCCACCAAGAGCGTCGGTTCATGTATTGTGAGGTGAATGCATTATTATTATTATTATTATTATTATTATTGTTGTTGTTGTTGTTGTTGTTGTTGTTGTTGTTGTTGTTGTTGTTGTTGTTGTTGTTGTTGTTGTTGTTCTTGCTGCTGTTGTTGTTTTTGTTCCTTAGGCACTAGTTTAGCACCGATACTGGAGCTGAACAACTTTGACTTTAACGATGAACATTACGTTCAAACCAGCGGCACCTAGATGAGCACAAAAATAGATCCCAAATATGCGAGCACCTTCATGGCACTCTAGCAAAATAACTTTCTTGCCACTCGTGACCTTCAACCACTTTATTACAACTCTTCTTCGACGACATTTTCTGAATTTGGCACCATGTTGAAGTGGCATCACTTTCTTTCATTGCTGACTTCAACAACGTAGAACTATCTATCTCCTTTTTCCACTCTTATTCACCAGTCACCATAAACTTCCTTGACGTCAATGTAGCTTTAAGCAATGGTAAACTAACGACAAACCTATACAGGAAGCCCACTGACCGACAGAGATTTCTTCATTTTGAAAGTAGCCATGCCAAACACTGCAAAACAAGTATCCCCTATAGTCAAGCTATCTGTTTTAAAAGAATTTGTCTGGACAACAGGGAATTCACTCGCAACTGTAATCAGCTCCGTTAAGCATTAAACGAACAAAATCATCCTTCACAAATAATCGACGACGCTCTCCAGCGGGCCAAATGTATCGTTCGTGAAGGTCTCATCAGTAAGGACAAGCGATTAACGCAACTTTCCCGAGCCAACCTTGTTCTAACGCATTCTGCGTCTATTCCTAACGTGTCGCATATACCCAGAAAGTATTACAACTAATTGACACCGAGCCATCGGCTTAGGGACACTTTTACTGAATCACCACGAGTTGTATATCGGAGATGAAGGAACTTGCGCGACATTGTAACTTCTTCCAAGACTAGATTCAGTCCTAGTGTTGGTTGCCACCTCTGTAACAAACCGCGACGTAAAGTTTGTGCGCACATGACCACTGCGACTGTTCCTAAAAGCACGGCATCTAACTTTTCACTCAAGATCAACGAGGACTTGAACTGCGATAGCAGAGACATCATTCACTTACTTGAATGCTCAATCTGCCACATTCAATACATCGGTTAAACCAAGACATTCTTTCGTATCTGTTTCAACAACCACCAATCACACGTGAACAGTTTGCCACATCTCCCATTGTCTAAGCATTTTTACCTACCAGGTCATTAGTTCGACAGGATTATGGTGACGCTATTAGAATCAGGCTTCAAACCTCACCATGATCGTGAAATTCGAGAATCTTTCGTGATCCATAAATTCAATAGTGTGTTATCCGGCATAAGCGAATGGATAGGCAAAATATCATGCCTTTCTACAATGCCCTGATGTCCGCATTTTTGCGAAATATTTAAAGAAGCATCCCTAACGTATTGTCTACCTCCTAAAATTTATCACAGATTTTTTTCGTTTTTCATGCGTGATCATCGTTGTCAATGGTCAATGTTACAAATGCCTTTTTTACATGCCCATGATCCTGACTACTGCATTACATTGTTTCTCTAACGCTTTTTTAGTGTTGTCGCGGCTGTTTGGACACTTTTGTGACACTAATTTGCTGATAGCACGTGTTTTGATTTTGGTAAATGTGCTCCTTTATTTCTTGAGTTATATTATATATATATATATATATATATATATATATATATATATATATATATATATATATATATATATATATATATTATGAAGTCTTGGTTTAGATTACCTTTATTAGGCCCGAGGAACCGGCAGCCGACGGCTACGATGAATGAGCCAAGATGGTGATGCTACGCGACAACGATGAGGATGCATGAGCCACACATGATAATGATGATAATGTACCGGTGAAGAGGCTGCGTGTACTAAATGCCCACACCAAATATATATATATATATATATATATATATATATATATATATATATATATATATATATATATATATATATATATATATCCCATATATATATATATATATATATATATATATATATATATATATATATATATGGGATATGGCACAACGGGAACGTTGTCAACAAGGATAAATATATATATATAATATAATTACTCATCCCCTGATGAAGGGAGGACCCCTCCCGAAACTGTTGGGAAATAAATTCAAGAAGACTAACTGGCCCATTGAATTATTACTCCCACTATATATATATATATATATATATATATATATATATATATATATATATATATATATATATATATATATATATATATATATATATATATATATATATATATATATATATATATGAGGGGTGCACATATAGATAGATAGATAGATAGATAGATAGATAGATAGATAGATAGATAGATAGATAGATAGACAGACAGACAGACAGACAGACAGACAGACAGACAGATAGATAGATAGATAGATAGATAGATAGACAGATAGATAGATAGATAGATAGATAGATAGATAGATAGATAGATAGATAGATAGATAGATAGATAGATAGATAGATAGATAGATAGATAGATAGATAGATAGATAGATAGATAGATAGATAGATAGATAGATAGATAGATAGATAGATAGATAGATAGATAGATAGATAGATAGATAGATAGATAGATAGATAGATAGATAGATAGATAGATAGATAGATAGATAGATAGATAGATAGATAGATAGATAGATAGATAGATAGATAGATAGATAGACGCACTAAGTTCGATCTCTTCCCTAGATGCCTCTTTCCCTCTCCTTTTTATGTCACTTTCTGCGCGAGGCAAGATCTTGTTGCATCCGCAGCTACGCGAGCGTACCACGTTTTCGCGTTTTACGGCCCTGCGCCTGTGCTCTGCATCCCGAAACTACTAAGAATATGAAGAGATTCATTTGTCGAAAGCACAATATCACCTTGCATGCAGTAGTTGATAGTTGCGGAAGTGTGTCTATCTGGTGCTTCCTAACGTTCACTGAAATCGCACGTATTGTGAAAGTGGCTCGTTGGATGGCGATCCCCGGCTAATGCGAGATCGCCCATTCTAGCGGATGCTTTATTACAATTTAGTCAGCTTCAGGTGCCAAAGCTGCAGCATAATTACGAGGCATGTTGTAGCGATAGGTTCCGAAAATTTTGACGACCTTGTCATTGTTGAGCTTGCACCTAGATCCAGGAGCGTAACCAGGGAACGGCGCACTGGGCCCGTGCCCCCCTCCCCCAAAATTTTTTGCATTTTCGCTATGCCCTAGAGAAAAAAATCACGACCGTTTCAAGAGGTTTTCCCTCCAGTATTCATGGAAATGCACTCCCCGAAAAAAAAATTTGGCAACGCACCTGGCTAGCTCAAAGTACACGGGCGTTCTTCACTTCGCCTCCGATGAACCGCGACTGTCACAACCGGGTGGGAATACGTGACTTTTGGGTAAGCTGCCGAGAACCACAAGCATTGTACCACTGCGGTGGCTTAGCGGACATTTTAACGCTCAATCCATTGACAGACTCCGCTTGAACAAAACGCGCGTGAAAAGTGTGTTGTCTGCCGAAACAAACGGGAATAGAAATGCAGCGCTACCTAAACTGAAGAACCTAACAAGCACGTACGAAAATCATAACGCAAATAAATTTTTACAAAGTGCCACTAATCCAATATTTAAAGGTCTGGGGAAGGGGACTGCTTATGGTTCTTTGGTCAACTTGGTTAAGCTGCGTAAACTTTGGTAAGGAGATGTCGGCAGCCTCACGCTTTCGACGCCAGCGTCAACAGCACCCCCCCCCCCCCCCCCTCTCGCTTCACCAGGGTAATTCAATATACTAGCGACAGCTGAGCTTACCCTGCGCTGGCCTTCTCACAAACTTTGCGGCATAGTCATGGTGCCTGCTATGGCAAAGCATATAAACGCAATGCATTTTAGAATTTTTTTGCAACAACACCTAAGGGTGCCCCTTTGAGCATCGGTTCACACTCGGCACGTTATCACACCTACGGGCTAAGAAAAGGAGCAGCAGCATAAGTTCGCGCAGTAATATCAGGTCTGTTACTCGCAAGAATACAAACGGACCCACATGGGTCACGTAACCTGATAAGTCACAAATTCAAACTTGCTAAGATCATTTTATCAAAAAAGAATCGTAAAAGTGCGTCGAAGGAACGCCGCAAAATTCATCTCGAAACAAAACGACGTCTTGGCGCATTAAGTGCAACGTAGTATAAATGATCAATGTTATCGTCACTTGTAGCAGCTATATCGGCAACCGAGTCAACGCTCACGCAAGTTCTCAAACAAGTTCCTTGGCGTTACCAAGATGCCAGAGGCGAGGTAACTGGTCGCATTCATTCACGCTCGCAAGATGGTGACTGCAGCGGGGACATCCTCTTGTGCACCTTCCACGACAACGTCGGGCTTTCAACAGGGAGCACCACTTCGCCCGGCTTGTCCCGAAGAAACGCTGAGCCGTCTGCCGCGAATAAACCCTTCGTAGAGGGCGGCACCAGCAATAAGGACGCCGCGAAGGCCACAAGACCAAGCGACGTCACCGCCGTTGGCAGCACGTTGACAGGCAGGGGCATGGATTCGAACTCGCGGAACATTGTGCCCATCATGGCTCCCATGCGGCCGAACAGGAATGCACCGGAATAGCCCAGGCTCCGCGCCGGTGTAGGGAAGGCGTCGACGGTGTGCACTACAAGGGTGACGTAGGTGACGTTCAGGATGATCACGGAACTGCAGTAGACGAGAAGCAAGGATGACTGGCCGCCTACGGCCACCAGGGCCGACTGCAACGCCGACATCATCGAGCATGTGGCCAGCAGGGGAACGGCGCAGTGCAAGCCACCATGCCGTCGCGTCAAGGCGTACGCAGCCGCCATGGCCGGGAAATTGACGGTCACCACGAACCACTGGGCTGTCTGGATCTGTAAGGTACGATTTAGCGTGTTCAATTATGCCCGCACGATTGATGCGAATCACGTATTTTAAATACGAATGCATTTTTTAGTCAGGCTATGTCAGGCATCCGGCGGTGTCCATGGTGGTCTCCACGCACCGCCACTCCCTCTCTCATAGCAAGAGCCGCGGGCGCGCGCACTTATCCTCGCCCCTAGCAACTGGAGCATGTGGTGTAGAGATCTAGTAGAGTTGGTGCGCTGCTTCGTTTGAACGATTTGCTCAATTGGACAAATTTCTGTATAAAATGACATTTTCTCAGACGATAGTGAGCGCAGTTTAAAGAACAGCAAAGAGAATGAGTGGATCTCTCATGATACCTACTCTTCCTCTAAGACTATTCTTGGTCGTAGTGTCATGTCACTGTTTTAGTCTTCGGTAGACGCTCGCACGATAATTTTCAAATCACGCTCGAGGTTTGGGAGCAAGTTCAGGAACACCGGGCGGCCGAAATTTCCGGAGTGCTCCATTGCGGCATCTTTCTTAATAACATTGTTCCGTGAATGATGAATCGCTTGCTCTATACGCCATCTACAAGATATGTTCACAACAGCTGTTACAGCGCTAACTGGTTCAGCTCAGAGCCTGAGCAGAAAGAGACCCTCGTTCTCTTCATCGGGTGCAAAATCGCACGGTTCAAGAGTGGTGCAGATATGCATGCAGTAATATCCTGGTTTTGGGCGTAAAACTTTCTAGTTGTTATCATTGGGCAACAACTGATAGCACTAACCCACGGACCGAGCTTCCAGTAGTCCCTCGCGTAGAAGGCGATGTACACGAAGCACCAGCACCCGAACAAGGCGAAGCACCGGGACCGCACTGGCGCCGACGCGATGTACCGCAAGAGCCTCGGGTACCGCAACACAGCCTCCTCTCCCAGGAACTCGGCCTCCTTACGTATCCGCTCCAGTCGGTCACGGACAAGGTCCGGGTCCTCGAGGTTGAGCCGAGCCGCCCACAAAGCAACGCGCTCGGCATCGTCGAACTTGCTGCATGTCGCGTGAGCGTGTGTTAGTGTTAACAGAATCAGGAATGAAAAATATGGTCGCGTATCTGCGTGCTTTGTTGGTAAAGGTTGTCGAAAGACTATAGTGCTCTGTCTGAGATATGGATGCCATCTGGCAGTAACTTCAAGAAACCAAAGTTTTTCCAAAAAGCAGAGCCACTGGTAGGGGGAAACGCCATGTCGTTTTGGTGAAACGTAGGAATCACACTCTTTTTCGTTCATAGCGTCGCATTATCCAGGCAGCGTATTAGGCACTGCTGTCTTTACATTTGCGTATCTATGGATTTTGGATACAAAGAAACACAGTGCCTAATACTTCCGTATTGATGTTTACCTTAATTAAGCGTAACACTTGATTTTCTGTGACAATGTTCACAAGCCTGAACGCACCAAGCAGATCAAGTTGGATGGGCGTTGAAGAAGACTTTGTCGAATTGCTTAATCGTGCGACAGACAAAAAGAACAAAATTTCCTCTTCAAGGAGAAGTATGAAAAATGACTTGGGATGACGTACTTAAGAGATCCACAGATGTCATATGAACACCACTCACTTTAACCTGTCAGTAACGGCAAAAGGAACAGTAGTCAGAACACAGGTATGCGCTTTTGCCTTCGTCATAGCACGCATTGCCGTTCTACCTCATCGTGTAACAGGACGCGTCACCTCTATTGTGGGAACCTTCCTCTGGGGAGGAAAACAAGCAAAGGTTCAAATAAAATTTTCACAGCTTCCCACAAGCCGTGGAGGCCTGGGTCTTCCAGCCATACCAACGGTCACGAAAGCATTATCTGCAAAAACAACACAGAAGCCCTTCGGCGACGGAAATTACCCAAAGTACAGGCTCTTAATGTACTGGAGCAGTGCACTATAAGAAACTTCAACGGCAACTCCGTACATCAGACCACGAGCGGAAATTCCGCTCAAGTTTTACAGACCTGCTAGTGGCTTAAAAAGAACACTTGAACAGTTGAATCAATAGGTTTAAGAAGTCTGGAAGACGTTTCGTAACGAGAAATCGATGAAATGTTTACAAGTAGCACACTGAGAAAAGAGAAAGAAGAAGAACCGTGCACGAAAAAACATTAAGAACGATGACGTTGCAATCCCGTACCCAACGGTACCCAACTGGTCGAGAAGATGGAGGGCATTGCCTAGACACGGGACCGGTTAGCACGTTGGGGAGTCGTTCCAAATGACCACTCTCCAAACTGCGGCAAAAAAAGAGACGGCACAACATGCTAAATTCGAGTGCTCGGTGGCGAAAGGTGTCTTGGACATGGTGCAACGCCTCTTTGGCTTTCACACAACCCGCATGAAAACAGATTGGGGCTGTTCGCACAACTGCTCTCTTGTACGTCACGGGGCGGCGACTTTGTTTGGCGGAAGTTCGGCAAAAGCCTCATAGAGACGTCTATCCGGCACTGCAAAAAATATGGCTCACTGTGTAGAAAGACCACGATGAACAGCTGGAAACACACGGTGAAGATATCATTACTGTGGGCAGGGATAACCGCGGTGGTACCTCGGTTGGTAGAGCATCGGATGGGTTATTCAAAGGAAGTGATTTTTTAACGCGATATTGTAAGAAAGCTCGTGTCGCAGAAATCCCGCCATCGGCGTCGGCCCCGTTGGTTGTGATCAAAAAATCGTCTGTGTGTCTGTGAGCGGAAAAGCAAGTTATAGAGATCGCCGCGGGAGGCCGCTACTTTTCCACGCGTGCGCTCGCGATCGCACTGAAAAAAACGCGCATTCGAAGAAAAAAAAAAGTGCTCGAGGTCACGAGGTGCGGTAGTTTTTTTTTTTTTTGCCCTTGCCAACCCTCCTTGCTTAGCTTCCAGCACTTTTGTCAGGACGAGAAGAGATGGTGCAATTGCAGCATGCTACAAACCTTTGTAACTCCACTCGCACTGGACCGATTCTTAAAATTTTTGCGGTGTTTAATTCGTGAGCACTAAGCTCTTCAAGTGAATTCATTCCATGGTTACTTGAAAAGTGTTTCAGAGACTCTTTAACGCGTTTTGTTTGACAGGCGTCACGACGAAAACGAGCCCATTCGGTGATTTGTAGGTGCATTTGGGAAGCTTCCAGCTACGTCGAAAAAGGCCGGGATAGTGCGGCCATCGCCCCTAAAAACACACAGGAACTTTCAAACAGCTCTAAAAACGAACAACTTATGTCCATCTAGTGGAAAACATATCATGCCTTTCCAGAGGCGTTGATTAAGCTAACAGCAAACGCTAGATAATGTGCTGCTATCTGTGAGGCATTGTGAGACTCTTTGTGGCCTCTGAGATGGCGAGCGTGCGGCATGTATCTTGGAGGCTATGCGACTCTTGCTTTAGATCAAAAACCTGTATGTACCATTCACGCGCGCGCGCTGGTACTATCTAGTGTTTGCGCGTGTGTTAACGTGCATGTGTGTTTATATTGTTAGGTGATTTCGTAACAAAACATATAAATAAGTATGCACTTAGCAGTTGAAAGGTGCCCTAGGGGCCGGATTTGACTATCGCGTTCAACTCTTAAAGGTGAAGCTTAAGGGTCCCCCAATTTTTGTTCCTTTTTCCTCACAATTTATTTACAATTACTTTTAATAACATCCCCTATACTTTCCTTCTCATTAGCCCTGTCAGTTCTTATTAATGAGTCCAACAAAAAAGGAGTTCTTAAGTGTACACTTGTTTCATTCATTCATAGCGAATGTCTCGTTCTGGCTTTCTCGATGCCGTCAGGTGTTATGCAAGGGATTACACGTCAGCTGCCAGCTTGTAATAAGATCACGTGCTGCGACGCTAACAGGCAAAAAAAAAGAGTGTCCAACACTCGCTGCAACAGCAACAGGCAGCTCTTACCGACGTTCCGACGTTTAAATTTAGTTTCAGTTTCAGTTTATTTCAGTTATTAGTACAACAAAAGGAACAGTATACAAAGTACATATACAAAAGGAGGTCCTAAAGCACAAGGTTGCAGGTAGACCTCCTGTTCAAAATGAGATTACAAAATTTACTCAATTAGCAGTAACAGTGAAAACAGAGAGATGAGTAAATTAAAAGTAAAAAGAAGAGTGGAATAAACAATATAACAAGATAAAAACATCTAGTAGTTTATCAAATATGAATACAATTGTTTTTTAAATGAGCCAACCGTCGAGCATTGTTTGATGTGAGATGGCAATGAATTCCACAATGATAATGCTGAAAATAGGCAGTGTGGTGACCAAAATAAGTGCGGATAGTAGGTAGTAAAAAATTGTCATTTGAGGTGAATCTAGTACGGTTTAAGTTAGACAATTCATTAGGATAAAAGACGTTTGACAGGACAAAGTGGTGCAATGACTTGAACAGCATGATAATGAGGTGTTATTTAATAAACTAACAGTAGAAAGTATCTCGAAGTTTCGAAGTAATGATGATGCACTAGAACTATGTGAACTCAAAGTTATTAGTCTGATGGCTTGGTTTTGAATGTGCTGAATGGGAGATGAGTGGATGAGGTATGTATTTCCCCAAGTGGCGATGCAAGCAATTATATGGCTGTGAATAAAACCATAATATAACTTGATTAAAGTTGAAGTGTTAAAGTAGTTACACGCTCTGATTAGAATCCTGACACCAAATGCTGTTTTTTGTGTAAATAAATAACATGATTAGAGGAATTTAGGTTTCTGTCGAGAATGATTCCTAAGAAAGTTTAATGTTAGGGTTATTGAGTGAGCCATTTATTTTAATAAAAGTTAGGAAGGGAAGAACTTTGTTAACTGAGTGTAATATTATGAACTTAGTTTTCGTAGGGTTCATACTGAAGGAGTTTGTCAGACACCAGCTTAAGACGTTATTTAGATCTTTTTGTGTGTAACTTTAGAGAGTCAATTGATTTATCAGCGGATAGTATTCTTGTTTCATTGGCTAAAAGTTAGTAATTAAAAATAAAAGCGGGCCAAAATAGACCGTTAAGGAACACCCTGATTAGTAGTAAAAATTATGATAAAGTAGAGCGAACATAAGCAGCCTGCTGTCTAATACAGAGGTAACTTTTAATAAGTGCAAAACCAGGTCCAACAATACTAATGGCGATTACTTTGGTTTCCAGGCTGCTGTAATTAAGTGGGTCGAAAGCTTTGGTTACGTCAATGAACAATGCTCCAGCTTATTTACCAGAATCAGTCGCTTTTTTAATCTTGTCAGTGAAAGTTAACAATGCAAGATTAGTCGAGAAAGCAGGTCAAAAACCAAACTGGCTTGGAGTTAAAATGGAAAACTTAGACAAGTAGTTAGTGATACGTTTCCTAAACACTTCTTTATTATTTTACTAAAAGAGTATAGGATAGCTATGGGGCGATAATTAGATATGTTATTACTGGTATTACTTTGGCCTGTTTTAGTTGTGATGGGAATGAACCTGTCTTGAATATTAGATTGATAATATGGAATAGAGGGACGGCAATGTGGTTGGCAATTAGCTTAATGTCGGATGAGTGAACTCCGTCCAGTCCAGGAGAGGTTACTTCAGGATTATGAATAATGCTAATAATTTCGTTAGGGTCTGTTGGCAAGAGGTAGAAAGATTGGGAAGAGCGAACCTGAGATTTATTGGACGATGGGGCTGTACTAGAAGCTTCTTTACTGTAAAATGAGTTGAATTCATTCGTTGGCTGATCTAAGACACAATCAGAAGTTTGAAGCTCAGTGATAGTTAATTCGGACGTGTTCTTGTTTAGGAAGGACTTAATAACTTTTCATTGTTCTTTAGAGTTGCTGCCAGCACGTGCTATGTTTTCTTCCTAATAACTTTTTCTAGCTCCCTTGAATAGTCTATTGAGAGTATTAGAACAGAGAGTGTAACGATGTTTTAGATTCATATTGAAAGGACGGCATTTGACTTTGTTGTAAAGGTTTTCTTTTTTACGCATGCATATCAATAGACTTTGTTATCCAGGAATTATGGGGTGTTGAGTAGATTCTTTTACAATTGACTACCGTGACGCTATCATGAATGCATTTGCATATGCGAGACGAAAGAAAATCAAAAGCTATGTTGGCATCAGTGCATGTTTTAATGGAAGAGCAATCGACATTTGTCGCGTGGTTCACAAACTCTTCTTTGTTTAGAATTGATTTAGAAAATCTCATATCGCGATAATGCGTGAAGTTTTTACATGAAAAGAAAACAGGGTAATGGTCAGTAATATTTACTTTAGGAACACCACAGTGTTTGGGTGAAAGAAAGTTAGACAGAACAAGGTCAATGAGTGTGCTACTGTGGCCAGGAATGCATCTAGTTGGCACATACGTACCCCATAAGGTGGATGGGAGGATGAGCACCATGGGAGCTCAGTTGCATGGTTGAGATTAGAACGCGTTGTTCGAAGGTTGCGGGTTCAGCCACTGCCCACGTAGAGTAATCTTTTCGTCCACTTTTCTTCACAATTCTATTGAAACTTCTTCTAATAACATTTCCTATACTTTCCTTGGCATAATCGTCTATTAGTTCTGATTATAGATGTGTCTAACAAAAAAAGTACCCTTAAATTCGCATTCTTTCCTTCATGTTTCACTATTGTAAGTTCATCATTAGTGGACAAAATTGAAGTTGAAGTTTCATATTTAAATTTCGCACCGAAATCTCCACACGTGGCGTGATGAGAAAATTAAAAATGTACTTTCGGTAATTTCGTGACATTGGCCCGATCAAACTTTCTGAAACATCGTATGCTAAGTCTATGGCACCCACAAATCTCAATGTATGTACTTCATTTCTATCGATTGTAAGCTACGTAGGACCCAGTACATACTTCAAAACTTCTGACGTCATGGTGCTCGGCGCCGAAATCCCAAGGTGGCGTCGCCACTCGCATTTACTTTTCGCGCGTTTTCTCTCTTACTAAGCGCCCCGCCGCGGTGGTCTAGTGGCTATGTTACTCGGCTGCTGACCCAAAGGTTGCGGGCTTGAATCCCGGCTGCGGCGGCTGCATTTCCGTTGGAGGCAGAAATGTTGTAGGCCCGTGTGTTCAGATTCGGGTGCACGTGAAAGAACCCCAGGTGGTCGAAATCTCCGGAGCCCTTCACTACGGCGTCTCTCATAATCATATGGTGGTTTTGGGACGTTAACACCCACATATCTATCAATCAAATCTCCTAATAAGCGTCGTGTCTTGGTAAGAGTGGTGTTTGCCGGGTTACGAAATTGTAGTTCACTAATACGCCAAAAATCTTCTTGCTCTCTAGTGTCCCTTCAAAGAAGACACCGCGAGCGTGCACGGCTGTAGCTCACTTGTTGTAGAGACACCAATGGGGCGACTCCTCGATCGTGAAAACCAGGCACGCTAGCAACAGCGCCGGTACAAGCAGCACGACGTGCAGCATCCGCCACGTCGCAAACACAGCGCTGACTGACGCGACGAACACGGGAGAGAGACACGTGGCCAGACTCACGGAGGCAGCCACGAAGGCTCCTCTGGGACCTGCCGGCGTAGACTCGAACAGCAGAACCTGCAGGTATACTCGTCTGAATGACACGTATGAAGGACTTGATTTCGGGTTAGTGTGACCTTGCTGAAGCACAGAGAGGTGAACGAGTTGGTTCCGGTTGATATTGCAGGAAAAAAGGGGGTAGCGCTAGAAGAAATACAAATGATGAGAAAAAGGCAGGACATGGTCTGTACTCCCAAATAAGGTTTTTATTCCCTAAAAGCGTCCTTTGATTACAATGAGCATTGTCGCACAAATTGTTACAAAAGGTTCAAAGCGAACAACATTATATTTTTATTGCTATATTGTTAGGCCGTGTCCCTGTTATTACCATGATGTTTGTTTTCCACCCTTCGCGACGATTTGCACAACAACGCCGGTGCTATACAAGGGATGTTTTAAACCTTCTGTCAAGCACAGTGGATGCCCTCTCTTATTCTGGTTCTTTTCATTCGTTCCAGCGTTGTTCCTTTTCTTTTAATCTGGTCCTTACAGAACGTCATAGTGAAGCACGAGGACACAGACCTGCTCCAAGAGAGGACGCATCGAGACACAGGCACGAGCGACAGAGAGAAGTACAAAACGAAAGGCGGCGTAGTCTGTACAACAGAGTATTCAGTATGGCAGTACGTTCAGAACGTCTAAACCACGCCATAAAAACGTTTAATATAATGGTATGCGCCAGTGGTCGAGATAATTGGTATGGCTAAAGACGTATACTGATTACAAACTAGCTTATTATCAGTTACAGCGCAAGCAAGCACGGCTGGTCATGCTTGCTTGCACACATGGCTCAATGTTGCTAGGTGTGACCACATCTAAGACAAACATACAGGTGTCATTAGAGGCCGTTCATACGTAACAACTTTTCAGTTTTTAGTGAGCGTTTGTTGAGTTTTGACCTCCCTTGTACTTAACAATGTCCACGTTATATCGGTTGGACTCCAGCTGCTAAGTGTAATGTTGGCTCTTTTGTGAGCGTTGGAAAACGAAATTACGCCGATGTGACGGGACCTAAAGGCGAAAAATACAGCGGGAACTAAAATTTGTGGATTGCGTTGTCATACAGTGTCTCGTTCAAATCCATGAGTAGCCTACGCTGCAGTACTAAGACGAACATAAAGGTGACGATAAAGAGCGTGGGACATGGCGCAAACGGCAAACGTAGGGTCTTGTAGAAGAACTGTGTTCACGTGGTTTGACGTAATTGAAGCGACATAATCCTTTTAGAAAAGCAGTGCTCCAAGGATACCTCATGAGTGCGCGCATATCTATTTCTTTAGCAGCAGTTACAATGAATTATGGTCTCTAGTAAACATTGCAGCTTTCTCCAGAAATGAACACCACACTCCCTTACCAATAAACAATGACACAGGAGTCACGATTGCGGTCCTATTAGTATTATCAGTAAACTCCATCATTCTACTATCCTATATGGTCAAACTTAGTTTATTGGATGACGTGTCAACTTGTCCAAATCACAACGCATACTGCAAAGGTCATCCGCGAACATACCGTAGATATAACGTCGAGCGCACCGGTCGATGCACCTGACATGAACCGCAGCACAGTGAACCAGAGCAGCGATTCACAAAGGCAGACTCCCAGTCCGGAGAGCAGAAGCAGAAGTACGGCAGCTATCAACACGGGTCGCCTTCCGACGACGTCAGCTGTGAGGCCCAACGTGGGCACGGCCACGGCGCCTCCCGTCATGAATGTTGCCCAGATAAGCTGCGAAAGGCAGAAAGCAATAAATGGGCCCCGCCGTGGTGGTCTAGTGGCTAAGGTACTCGGCTGCTGACCCACAGGTCGCGGGTTCGAATCCCGGCTGCGGCGGCTGCATTTCCGATGGAGGCGGAAATGTTGTAGGCCCGTGTGCTCAGATTTGGGTGCACGTTAAAGAACCCCAGGTGGTAGAAATTTCCGGAGCCATCCACTACGGCGTCTCTCATAATCATATGGTGGTTTTGGGACGTTAAACCCCACAAATCAATCAATCAAAGCAATAAATGGGTTAGACGTCATCGTCACATCACCTCCCTCGGAGTGCACCCGGAGTGACTCTCTCCTCTCAAGTGTATGCAATCGCATGTACATTTCTGTAAGCACCGCAAGAAACTAATTATCCGAATAATAGCAATTATTCTGAATTGATAAAACTAAACCGAAGTTTCTCGATATGACCCTTCGTGGTAAGGTGTCTTTGCCCTGTTTCGTACGTGTGAAAGTTATGCAAACAGTTTGGTGAGCGAAATGCGTCCGTCCGTGCGTGTCGCGCTTGAATTTAGTCGTCGTAAACGTGGCCTCTGCGACTGGCTTTATCTGTGCGCAGCAGTAACTAATCACGAACACCACGATAAAATAAAACTCAGCTGCTCCACGATTGAAACAACTTATTGAGAACCGCATAAATCATGGCGAATATAGTTTCTAAGGCACGAATCATTCTCATTTATATGTAAAAAAAACGAGAGAAAAATCGCATTACGGGTGGTAAAAATTATTGAACTGCCCCGATGTGGTGGTCTAGTGGCTAAGGTAATCGGCTGCTGACCCGCGGGTGTCGAGATCGAATCCCGGCGGCAGCGGCTGCATTTAGAAGGAGGCCAAAATGCTCTAGGCCCATGTGCTCAGATTTTATGCACGTTTAAGAAACACAGGTAGTCAAAATTTTCGTAGCCCTCCACAACGGCGTCTCTCATAATCATATCGTAGTTTTTGGACATCAAACCCCACATCTCAATAACTAAAGATCATTGGACTGTGTCTTGGTGTGAACGTATCTCCTGCAAGAGGTAACACTACCATCCATTGTGTTACGGCTGATTTATAAGATCGACTATAGCTCTGATAACCTAACTTATTTACTGCATTTAAAAGCACGTATAGAACTTGGGTTTGATGATTAAAACATACTTTGAAGGGACACTGAAGTAAACTATCAAAAGACGCTGATTGTTGAAATCGCGGTCCGGAAACCTCGTGGTGTTACTTTTGTTCCAAGGAAGGACCTATTTTGAAATAAAATCCCGTTTTGGTGGTCCGCGTCGAGATAGCGCACTTCAAATTACCCGCCTCAAGAAGCAAACTAACCGGACCGTCTCACATCACTGACCACGTTACCCGGCTTTACTGCGCTAAAAGCAGCAGACTAAATGCAGCAGGAGCCACAGCAGCAGCAACGGCCATTGATAGATTTCCCACCAATGAATTGAAGATTACAGACGTTTTCGTTTCGAATGCACCCCACTAGCTGGCAACACCTGTCTCGTGTAACCACGCGAAAATTGAATTTTTGAACTCCTCGCGCCATCCCCCATAGTAACGTCCGGCGCTTCTTTTTATCATGAATCAAACAGCAACGAACAAGCAGCATTTTGTTGCGTCGCCTAATGCACAGAACGTTCTTATTTAGTGCAGTTAGGTCAATTTTTAGTGATGGATTGTAGGTGGTTCATCTGATGTCATCCGGATCATTTTGAAAATTTCCTACTGGGGCGCTAACGTTCGTGTGCATTTACTTTGATTTCTTTGTAAATAGGGCACTGTTGTTGATAATATTGTCGTTGATATGTTGTCATACATTGGGATTTCACTCAGACGTAAATTGTTTTTTGACTTTAGTGTCCCTTTAATATTAGGGCACTCTTAGACCCAGGTTTAAGCATTAGGCACGTGTGCGTTTAGTACTTCACAGCTACTGCGCTGCACGGCTATGATGATCTGAGTGCTAGTTTAACGTATAGTCGGTTTACGCAAACAGATACCGCCCATAGACGAGCTATTATTCGCACCACGGAATGGACATTGGTACAAGGTCGCTGCAAGCATAGAACTTCGTGCTTTGTAAGCAGCATAAGTGTATATTTCATTGATTTTAAGAATTGAAAAGTCAAGAAGAGATCATCACACAAGGATGCCCTAAGGACACACGCCTCGTAAAGAGGCATGCGTGATATAGCCTGATGAATAGGGCAAGCTTGTCACTGTTTGTTGAATGTAGTTAGGTGGCCTTAAGGGCCAGTCAACAAGCTCCGAAACGTGCAGAAAGAGCTCGTGCATTTTTCCTGCGCATGACCAACCTCCTTCCACGCGGAGTGGTGTCAGCTCAGCGATCGGCGACGTCGACCTCATTCAAGGAGGTTTAAAAAATTGCTGGAGTGGAAATTCTTGCCCACGAGTGAAGCCATGTCCACTGTAAGATGGCAGCTGCGGCAGCCATATTACTAGGGGAACGATGAGCTATTTGTGTTCGCCGATTCAGAAGGAGCGTTTTCCTCGCATGCTCAACGAGTTCAACGTAGAAACCTTTACGGGTCAGATAGTGCTCAAAGTGCGTCCTTGTGTAAATGGTTTTCTTTAGGAAGCCTCGAATTCAAGGCAAACTTTATTGGAGATTACATCACCGATACTAGTCTCTGCGGGTTATTTCTTCGGAAACAACGATCTTTTAATTATTAATTAACGCAGCCTTTAGGCTAACAAATCAAAGCCACTTGATGCATAACTGGACCCACCAGAAAATAACATGTTTCCGAGTTCTTTGAAGGGCAAAAGCTGACATCACTGCTGCTGGCAAAGCATTGCGGGAACTTCCACTCAAGCAATTTTTTTAAACTCTCCTTGATTTAATTAGTCTTTGTTGAGACCTGGTTTAGACCAATGGACGAGCTGTGTGCTGCACCACGTCACCGATCGCCGAGTTGAGGTCACTGCGCCTCGAATTGGGTTGGTCAAGCGCAGGAAAAATGCGCGAGCTTTTCCTGCGCGTTGCAGAGCCTGTTGACTGGCCTTGAGCTGTATAAGTGTAGAACCAACTTCGTAGGTAACTTCTATGTGGTGGAAGTTTCAAGTTTTAAGATTAGTATTGAATGAAAACAGGCATAACTTATCCAGCGGCTAAGTGGGAGGAGGTGGTGACCAAGGCAACTGAATGCCTGACAGTGCACCGACCCTGGACAAGACAGCTAGAACTTGACTTCATCTAGAAAAAAAAACCGCGTGCTTGTCGTGGTTCCTTGTTACTTCTAGCAGGCATTTCAAATCGCGCTTACGTGTTTCAATCGACTCCGCTGGCACACGAGGTCCCACTCGGCGACAATAGTCGACCTTGACTCACTTTCGTCGTACTGCCAGTGGTCGCATGGCACCTGCAGAGCATAAGATATTATGAGACCTAATAGGAAGGTTGTACCAATGTGATGTAGCCTCGAAAGAAGGTGCTGGACTAAATCCGACAACAGTGCCGTGCGCAGTGCATCCCCCTCTCTCAAACGCACCTGTCCGCAGTTGGCTTCATCACCCAGTATTCACTTGGCAGCCGTCAGAGATGAAAGTGTTGATCGTCGCTTTTGCCAAGAGCGAGGCTCGAGCATTTACAGCGCGTGAAGATTCGTCGGCAACTGACTGAGGTTCATGGTGAAGAGAGCATGCCTGTTCAGCCCGACCACAAGTGGCCCGACCACAGGGGTTTTTCTTGTTGCAGGGAGGCAACAAGGACAGGCTTTACTCAATCGTCACGAGAGGTGAAACATGGGCCTTTCATTACACCCCCGAAACGAAACATCAACCTCTTCAGTGGCATCACGTGGGTTTACCGCCACCTACCTTCATAGGTGTCAATTACGTCCGAGCGCAGGTGTTGCGGTGAATGTGATGATTGTTCGCCCAGTGAATGCATTCCTGCCACCATCACATTCGCCGCAACGCCACATTGCTCCAAGTGTTTTACACCACGAGCTAACTTGGCGGCGTGGTTTAGAGGATCCGTTAGCCACCAGCGCCTGCATTCTCGCTCGCAATTCAGCGTGGTTTGGAAGGCTGCCAAAGCACTGGTATGCAGCCTGCCGGCAATTGGCTACCCGGGCCTGTTTTGTGCCCGGACTGCACTATCGGCCTGGCGAATGCGAGTCCTTCTCACTTTTTCACTGTTAGTGTGTTTCTAGAGTCGTCTGTGGCTTACCCATGTAGAATCTCTCAGTAAGAACTGCTGCACGCGTGCTCGGCGCCATGGCTGCGACGGGATGAACGACGTCAAATACAACGCAGCCAATGGCACGCGTTCTTGGGTGAGGCACTGAGAACGACGTAACTAATGGCACAGCCCATCGAGACTGCTCTTCAGACCAATGCCAGATGGTTTTTCGTTTGTCGTAGCCATGTACACCCTTCGATGTACATGCGTGCAAGTAGTTGGACAACAAGTTCGGTGAACTTGCCTGTTTACCACGGGATATACGTAAGGCATATATGAACAG